GCCATAAGTTAAATCGAAAGTTTTCATTGTATTTTGTATTCTAATCAGGCTTGTGATCCTTTCGCATATTTGACCAACAGAGTCATTTTAGTGTTACGAGGCTTGAAATTGACACTTCATAAGTTTTACGGTCACCATTACAAATTGGTTGACATAACAATATGCCTGTGTCTCATTTCACTAACGACATGTTTTTGCAGTCTCAAAACTTTAAATACTAGATAATACGTAAACACTTTTTACCGATCGTGTCCTTTTTCCCAACTGTGACCTTTTGACTTAATAGCTGGTGATACATGTCGATTTACCCGGTCTTGCTGGCTGGTGATACATTTCGACACACCCGTTCTCGCTGGCTGGTGATACATGTCGACACACTTTATTTCGCAGGCTGGTGATACATGTCGACACACTAGATCTCGCTGGCTGGTGAAACATGTCGACATACCCGGTCTCGCTCCTTTGGAGTTAACTACTGTTAATTTAATTTGTATATAACATGTATAAATAATACAGATCTGAAACTGTGAATAAGCAAACTTTAAATTCGTTTCTTAACCTAGTTTTTCACTTTAAGATGTTTATTTCGTGTTATCCCCTATAAAAATGATAAAAGAGGATTATTTCATCTTGTATTTGTTTTACTCACACGATCAGAATCGCAAGGTTCTTAGTTCATAACAAATTTTCATATTATATTATTTATATATAGTTATGACTTGTATAGTTACATATGCCCAAGACTTTTCTACAATTCTTATATATCTTTTAAATCAAAAAGCTTGTCATCGCTACCAAATTGTTGCCTCAAGTACCTTTGAAACATTATTGCAGGTTCACATGTTAAAATCTTGCAGCGAAGGAAATTTGAAAGCACCAAACAGACAATGTAATATCATTGATGACCGGATATTATCATATAACAACAACAAAAACATCAATAATAATAATAATAATAATAATAATAATAATAATAATAATAATAATAATCATAAAAATAACACTTATATTAATTGTAATAATAGTAGTAAAACATATAATATTGTTATTTGAAAAGCATTCTTCTTCGACAAACCAATGCTTAACCTAAAACAATTTATATATAAATGCATATGATTCTTTATGAAACACAAATATTATTTTTTTTATAAAAAAACCTGCGGTTAATATTTTCTCCATCAAAGTGTTTTAACCTTAACAGTATTGAATAGGTTTATTAAAGATGTTGCTGCTTGTTTTTGTAATTTATATGTGGAAAATCGTCCTTTGAAGTATATTTTGCATGAAGCTCTTCAAAACATGCACAAGGCCAACTGCTGGGAAATAATTAATATAATACTAATTCAAAAATACAGTTTTCAATTATAAAGCGAAATCTCCAATCACAATCCATTTGCACACCTTTCAAAAAATATACTGTGGCTTGTATCTGCAGCTTATAAAACTAACCTGCAGTATAACAAAAAATATAATAAAGATAAATGTTCTTTGACGGCCTTCCACTTGTATTATAACAAAGAATTAAGCAGACAAATTAAATTAAACAAATATCTGTTAACTGGTTTAATTCACATCAATCTTGTCATCTTATGTTTTGTGTCATGGGAATTGTTCGTGCTATGAAGTGTGTTTATATCTTTCTACAATTTATGAGTAGACAAATCTTGGTTTTAGAATATTAATAGGTTTTACATTGTTAAAAACTACACAGGTGTTTATTTTGACATGATTTACTAGCTACTATTTGTTAGGGCGAATTGAAACATTAAGAAAGTAATATTATTTAGAAATGTAAACGTGCTTGAAATATGTCTAAAACAATACTTTGTTAAAATGCATAATGTTTTACGCTTCTACAAACTTTATCGAGTGCATCATTGAAAAGTGATTTTAAGTTCTAAAGTGGAAATATTAAAAAAAAAAAGGAAATGGTAGAACTACCTTACTTTTAATTCCATTAAAACAAACAGAAATTACTTGTTTGCTATCGAAAATAAAACAAACTATGTTTAACCTATGGTGTTCCTTGTATTCTAAGTATGGATAATGGAACTAGGGAAAAGGTAGTCTAAGTATGCATTATTGGGGATAGGTGAAAAGGAGTCTAAGTGTGCATTGTTGAGGATATGGGAAAGGAGTCTATGTATACTTTGCGGAGGACTGAGAACAAGGAGTATAAGTATGCATTGTGGAGGATGAGAGAAAGGGAGTCTTATTATGAATTGTCAAGTTTGGGGTCTAGGGAGTCTAAGTATGCATTGTTGAGGGTAGATGAAGGGAGTCAGAGTATGCATTGTCGAGGATTGGGAAAAAAGAGTCAGAGTATGCATTGTCGAGGGTCGGGGAAGGGAGTCTAGGTAAACACTGTCTAGCAAATTAAAAAAAACAGTAGTTGTAAATAAGGCTAAGACATTATTTACCTGTTGTAGAAAAGAAAAAGTGTTTCGAAAAAAAGTACGCATTGTTGAGATTGGCAGAAAGGGATTCAAACTATGCAATGTCGAATTTGGGGGAAAGAATTGAAGAGGGTGGGAGAAATGGAGCCTTAGTATGTATTGTCTGATTGAGGACAGGGATATTTAATATGAATTGTAGCGGGTTGGGGAAAGGGACTCTAAGTATGCATTGTCGAGGTTGGTGGAAGGAATTGTAGGTGGGAGAAATGGAGTCTCAGTATTCATTGTCCGATTGAGGACAGGGAGACTTAATAAGAATTGTAGCGGGTTGGGGTAAAGGAGTCTAAGTATGCATTGTCGAGGGAGAAAGGTAGTCTTAAGACACAGTATGGGGAATACTGAAAATGGAGTCTAAGTAGTGTATTGTCGAGGCTGGGGGAAAGGGATTATTGGCTGTACAGGTTCGAAATGAAAGATATTTTAAGTTGAGAAACACCAAACAAATACTGTTTTCCGCAATTCAATCAGTTCTTGTTTGTTTAAAAAAACTTTGGAGTATTTGCTTACTTATAAACTGATGTAAATGATATAATATGTATACTCTATACTCTATATTATAGAAAACTCATATTACTTTTTTGTCATTATTTGGAAAGAATAGATCGGTACGGTCAATATTTTGACGTTTAAATTAAGTGAAACTACCATTAATAAAAAAAGTCAAATCATGATAGTAATATTGTTATCTTCTAATTTTTCAGTTTAACTTTGTCCCAATTTATTGAAGTGTTAACCTGGTTTTGCTTTAATTTTTAGTTATTTTCGATTAAAATATCAACTCTTCAAAGATTGTATTAGGTATTGGTTTTATACATTTTTTTTTTAACACGGGTATCATTATCAACAACTGTCAAAAATATAAAAGACTAACTATATTTAACAGATGAATGTCGTAGCGATTTGCGTTTTTTGGAACTCGTTTTTAGTAAACTGAAATGGCGTTCACATGTTTTATGATTCTGCTTTTACTAGTGTTAGGGATTTTGAATTATATACAGATGCAGCCTCTATCTTCGGTTATGGTGGATATTTTATGGGGAAATTGTTTTGTTTTCTGTGGCCGGAATATTTATATGCTCAATGTGAAAAGAAATATTCCATGGCCTTTCTAGAACTTTATCCTATCGTCGTTACATTTTGAAGTCATTTATGGACTACTAAAACAATATTATTTCGATGTGACAATGAAGCCAACGCCCACATTGTTAATAAAGGTCGTTCCGTATGTTTATTGATAATGAAACTTATGAGAACCCTTATGTTGTATGCATGTCAAAATACATTTTGTTTTCGCCCTGAACACGTTCCTTGAGTTAAGAATAATATAGGTGACTCTCTTTCTTGTTTACAGTTAGAACGTTTCAAGATACTTGCAATATTGAGGATGTGACCTACAGAATTAGACTTATTACCGGATTTGTACTAAGATGAGCAATATGGGTACCACATATGGAGCAGGAACTGCTTATCCTTCTGGGGCACCTGAGATCAACCTTTTCAGTCTTTGGTTTTCTATGTTATGTTTTGTGTACTATTGTTTGTCTGTTTGTCTGATGGTCTTTTCCTTTTTAGCCATGGCTTTGTCAGTTTGTTTTCGACTTATGAGTTTGAATGTCCCAATGGTATCTTTCGCCTCTCTTATGCACCTTTATCAGACAAATTACCTCACAAGTGCCGGCCAGCCTCGCGAGTAATGTGGTATTAAAGTGATGAGAAAAGCTCACTTGGCCCTTCGGCCAGGTGAGCTAATAAAAAATAGCTGATAAAACCGGTAAGATTATTCTACAAATTTTGTCATTATCAGAGAAAAGATTGTCATATCTAGGAGTTAACGTCAACCCACAAATAGACCCTCACAGGGCATTATCAGTGTTGGACTTATGGCGACATGTGTTATAAACTAGAACATCTTAGACTTATAAAGTTGGATATCAAGCTTATATTGTATTTCTTGCTAGCACCTGGGTTGCCTGGTTAGGTCAACTCATGCTTCCAATTTTTGAGGATATTTTGATTCATTTTGTAGCACATTGTAACAAAAACCTGAGAGTTTTTCATACAACTATTGAATTGTATTATGTGGAGTTCAGTTTTAATATATCCAAAGTAACTGTGAACATCCGTTTGATTCTACAAATGAATTGACATAAGTCCTTGAGTTCAGTATAATATCAGTGACCCTCTTTCTCATTTACAGTTAGAACGTTTCAAGAGACTTGCACCTCTATCCGACAAATTACCACACAAGTGCCGGCCAGCCTCACGAGTAATGTGGTATTTTATTTCGTTGTAACACTTCCGGGACTTAATGAAATTGTGCTGCTCATGTGTGAACTTCAGTGTGCTGATAGCTTTTGGGCAATTCGGACATAGTTTGAATTGTCCCAACTTCAGCTAGATTGAATCAACGAAGTTGATTTATATTCTATATTTAATAATAATTTGATTTTAAAATAAATAAAAAGTTTAATATTTACCGGATGTAATTTCGGTTAAATTTTATGACTTTGTACCTGTTTTCGGCAAATTACCGCAAAAAAAATCATGGCAGAGAAAATGATAGAGAAGGGCTCTGCGGCCAGTAAAAGAAGGTCTTCGCAGGAAGATATGATAGATGAAGATGAACTTCTATCAGCTAAAGTTGTTTCCATTGCGGCTGGAAAAAGAAAAAAAAGATTCTTGCAAGTCAAAGGCTTCCGCGAATTGCGGAGCCAACACTTCAAGCAAGAGAGGAAAAGATAAAAAACCAGCGAAGGTTATAATATAACTCAAACTCAAAACCCTGGTCCCTCTACCTCAAATGATGGTAATCATGATCCAATCATGACTATGCTCAGATCAATTCAACATGGTCAGAAAAAAAGTCTGAGGATATCAAGTTTTTAAAAGACCGTGTTAGAGACATTGAGGAATATGAGAGAGAAGGAGATAATTATGATGATAATCATGATGAAGATGAAGAAAATCCTCATAATGATGGGGAAAGACAAGACAATGAAATAGAACTACCTGCAAAGAAGCATAAAAAAGATAACAATAGGTTCTCTTCTATGTCAAAGAAATGCAGGGTAAAAGAAGTCTAAGGTCTTAGTCTTAGCTAATAACATAAATGAATTGTTCAGAAATGGAATGAACGGGGAGCAATACTCCGAGATGATTAAAGATTAGAACAACGCTAGACCTAAAAACTGTAAAGGTTTATCAGCTGTCGGAATAAACCAGCTCATCTGGAATGGTATTTCCCCTGGAGCTGAAACTACTGATAAGAAATTGCTGGAAAAAACTATACTTAAAGCGGCAACTATCTTTATTAAAACCGTCAACAAAATAGCACTTGACGATAACAATATTAATAATGGTGACTCTGGTAGCGGAGAACACTTTGATAGTTGCAACGATCTATTGGCTTTATTGGGCCATGCAAATAGACAAGTGAACATGACGAGGAGGGACTTTTTAAATCCTAAAATGATGGCAGAATATGTGCCACTGTGTTCCCACTCAGTACAAATAATCTTTTTGGAGACGATGTTCCAAAGTTCCTAAAGACATAGATGATTGTTGTTCAAAGGTGGGAAACACGTTTGGCTATGGCAAAGGCGGAGGTGGAGGCTTCTTTAGAGGTGGTAGAGGAGGCCACAGAGGTAGCAGAGGTGGCTACCGTGAGGAAAGAGGTGGCTTCCGAGGAGGAAGAGGTCGAGGTTCCGGCCAAATTCCAAAAAACTCCCAGAGAGGAGGAAATCCACAGAAGTTTTAGATACATCAAATGAAGTAAGTCATTGTTTAAAGCTGGTATATTGAAAAGGTTTTCCAATGATTGGGAAAAAGTTACATCTGACAAATTTATTTTAGACTAAGTAAATCATTGTCATATAGAGTTCATAGATAATGTTGAACCTTAGCAAGACAATGTTGAGTTAAAATCTGTCTTTAACTCAAATGAAAGTGATATTGTCTCAAATGAAATAAAAAAGTTACTGGCAATCAATGTTATCAAAGAAGTTCATTCAATGAAAGACCAGTTTCTATCGCCTATATTTGTAAGGCCAAAAAAGATTGGAGAAAATAGAATGATTTTGAATCTTAAAAAGTTAAATGAATATATTGAGTATCATCATTTCAAAATGGACACTTTTGACAGTGCCATAAAACTTGTAACTAACAAATCATATATGGCTTCTATTGATTTGAGACATGATTACTAATGTGTTCCAATTGCTGAGGAACATCAAAAGTTTTTAAGATTTCATTGGAACGGAACACTTTGTCAATATACATGCTTACCTAATGGGATTATTATAGAATATTTACTAAATTATTAAAACCAGTATACTCTAGTCTTAGAGTTTTAGGTCATGTAAATGTTGGTTCCATAGACGATAGTCTTTTATTAGGAGAGACTATAGAGGAATGCAATAAAAATGTAAATGACACAGTTGAATTTATGTCAAAATTAGGATTTGTCATACATGAAGACAAATCTGTTTTTCAACCATCAAAACAAATTATTTTCTTGGGTCATATTATTGATGATTTAAAATGGGGGATTGCTAATGTGTCTACAGAAGTAAGACATATAAGTAACGGCAGTCCACAAAGTATTATACAGACAAATGCCTCATTATTAGGATGGGGTGGCATATATAGTGATAATGAAATAGGAAGTAGATGGACAGATGAAGAATCTAAAAATCACATAAACTATTTAGAAACACTAGCTATATATTTTACATAAAATCTTTTCTTCATCTGATCAGAACTAAGCATGTTAAGGTTCTTACAGACAATACAACGGCAGTGGCCTATATATCAAACATGGACGGCACAAAGTCCATAGATTGCAACACAATAACAAAACAAATTTGGTTATTTTGTAAAGATAATGGCATCTGCTTGACATGCACTCATATAGCAGGCAAAGAAAATTTAGCAGACAAATCTGGAGAATTTGATAACAAGTTAGAATGGAAATTAAAAAGGTCTGTTTTTGACCAATTATGTATGTTATGGCAAATGGCAGTTATTGATTTGTTTGTACCCAGATTAAACTTTCAATTAGGAAAATACTGTTCTTAGAAGCCAGACCTATTATCTGCATTTATTGATGTTTTTAGTATAAATTGGTCAAATTTTCAGTTTGTCTATTTGTTTCCCCCTTTCAGTTTATTGAGTCCCTGCATTTTCAAAATCAGAGAGGACGGTGTAAGAGGAATAATAATAGCTCCTTTATGGCTGACGCAAAACTGGTTTCCAAGACTCATGCAGTTGTTGACAAACAATCCAATCGTTCTTCCTAGATTTTGAGTCTTCCTCACGATCCGCAGTCTGTTCATCCTTTACACAAGAAAATGAAGCTAATTACATGTCCAGTGTCAGGAGTAGCTTCAAAGAACGATAATTTTCTCAAGAAATAACCCACATACTCATGTCGTCTTGTTTGTTTTGGTACAAAGAAACAGTACCAAGTGTATATCAGGAAATGGTTCAAATATTGTAACTAAAAACAAATTAATTGCTTTCAAATTTCTGAAGGAACAGTGCTTGAATTTTTTACAATGCTATTCAAGGAAGGTAATCTTGGATACAGTAGCTTAAATTTGACTCGAGGAGCACTTTCGTCTTTAGGACTTATTTTTGACGGCATTGCAATAGGACGTCATTCAATGGTGATACGATACATGAAAGAAATTTTTAATCTTCGTCCACCTAGACCTATATATGAATCTACATGGGACGCTAATAAAGTACTTAACTTTTTGCGTAGCTTATCACCAGTGAAATATTTGAAATTAAAAGATTTAACATTAAAACTTGCTATGTTAATAGCTTTGACAAATGCAGCTCGAGCTCAATAAATTCATTTAATGAATATTAATAATGTACATGAAGTGAAGGGAGAATTTATTTTTGTTTTGAATGAACTTATAAAACAAAGCCGACCTGGTTATAAGGAACCAACTGTAAATATAAAGGTTTATCATCAAGATCTCATTTAGTGCCGGAAGTGTAACAACGAAATAAAATTTAACAATTAAACGAGTCTTACCTTAGTAAGACTCGTTTAATCGTTAAATTACAGTTTACAGTGTCGGACTTATGGCGACATGTGTTATAAACTAGAACATCCTAGACTTATAAAGTTGGGTATCGAGCTTATACTGCATTCCCTGGCAGGAACGGGGTTGTCTGGTTTAGTTCAGTATTACTATATCCAAAGTAACTGTGAACATCTGTTTGATTATACAAATGAATCGACACTCCATAGACTCAATATGATAATGCACGCTGTCAAACATATACAAGGAGAGCATAATCTAAAACCACGTCTTCCTCGTCTTCCTTGTACTTTTCAGGTACGTTGGGGAAAATGCAATTCTCTTTGATCAGGTGTTTTCTCTGCCTTTATTGATTGTATGCTAGAAAGGCTTGTACAGTAGCGTTTTGTTTTGGAATTCTGAGATGTGGCGAATTTGCAGTTTCAGAACATTTTGATTCTACTGTAAATGAGAGTGTAACAGATGTTGAGATTGTTTATGCGTATGCCATTCTACACCCTAAAATATTTAAAACAGATCCTTTTCGTATAGGTGTCAGTATACAGCTTCAAAAATCATACCATTTGTCTTTTTTCGGCTAACAAAAAGTATATTGCAACCAGGAATGGTAGAGAAGCATCTTTTTGTTTTTAAGATCCATTGATATAAAAAAAAATAGTAGCGCTTTAGACAGGAATTTTTCATTAGAAGTCTTAAACAAGTACTAGATATTTGTAGGTACAACTTTAGCTTATATAATGGTCATTCCTTCAGAAATGATGCCTGTACTTTGGCAGGATTTGTTAATATTCAGGATCATCTTATTAAAACACGTGGTCGGTGAACATTGGCCAGTTATTGTCGTTATATTCGGATTTTCAAGGACACGATTCAAAAAGCACAAAAGTGTTTGACATTGTCTTATAGTATCTGAGTTATTATAGATATGTGGACATAATCGAACGTGTATGTATGTTCTTTTATCAAACAATAAATGTACTTGAACTGTGAACTTGGACCATAATTGATCATTTATATGAATAGATAAAATTGAGAATGGAAATGGGGAATATGGCAAAGAGACAACAACCCGACCAAAGAGGAGAAAACAGCCGAAAGCCACCAATGGGTCTTCAACACAGCGAGAAAATCCCGCACCCGGAAGCGGGCTTCAGCTAGCCCCTAAATAAAAATGTGTACTATTTAAGTGAAAATGGACGTCATACTAAACTCCAAAACATATCAATGGACACGATTTTAAAAAAATACAAGACTAACAAAGGCCAAAGGCTCCTGACTTGGAGCAGGCGCAAAAATGCGGCGGGGTTAAACATGTTTTGTGAGATCTAGATCTCGACCCTTCCCTATACCTCTAGCCAATGTAGAACAAACAAACACACAGCAATACGCACAGAAAAACTCAGCTTAAAAGAAGTCCGCGTCCGATGTCAGAATAGGTAACAAAAGAAACTTAGCAAAAAGACAATGATACATAAATTAACAAACGACTACTAGCAGTTACTGACATGCCAGCTCCAGACTTCAATTAAACTGATTGAAAGATTATGTCTTCATCATATGAAAATCAAGCACAATCCCTCCCGTTAGGGGTTTAGTATCATATCATCATAAAATATATGAGAAGAACGTAACCCGTATCATGCCAACAACTGGTTTTAGAACAAATGTGTTTATTTCCGATGCAAAGACACTATGAGTGAATCAATATTAATACCAAAATATGCCATCTTCAATGACCTGACAACAGTATCGTAACTACATCCCTTCTGAATAAGTCTGTTTAAAGGTTTGGTTACCTTTTGAGGTGAATGTCAACATGTTTGTGATTTGTAAAGAATATTACCATAAAAGATTGGATGTGAAATACCTGAACGTATAAGATGTCTGAATGTTGATTTATATTTACGAATAATGTCCTTGTACCAATGATATAATTTAGTAAATGTTTTGACTAATTTGGTATATCGAATACCCTGGTGTAATTATTGTTCAGTAATACAGAGATTTTTTTCCGTTAAAATCAAATACGTTGTTACATACAAGAGCGAATCGAACAAGTTGAGATATAGAAACACCATAAGATCGTGACAAGGGAACGTCACCATCTTAAAATGGATGATTAAAAATAGGAAATGAAAAAATCATCTCTTTTATCATAAATTTTGATATTAAGCTTCCCGTTAAGGATATAGATATCAAGATCCAGGAAAGGGCAGTGTTCATTGCTAGTGTTAGCTTTATTTAAAATCAGTTCAGCAGGATAAATCTCTTTATTGTACATACTGAAAGCGTCATTATTGAGAGCCAATATATCATTCAAATATCTAAAAGTTTTATTAAATTGTTGTATCAGATGTTGTTTCGATGGGTCTTTGCTGATTTTAGTCATAAATTATAACTCATAACAATACAGAAACAGGTCTGCAATAAGTGGTGACAGTTAGTCCCCATTGGAATTCCGATAACTTGACGATATACGGAATCTCCGTAGCGAACAAAAATGTTATCTAGTAAAAATTCAAGGGCAGTTATAGTATCAAAGCAGGTCCAATTGACATAGTTCTTTTGTTTGTTGTTACTAAAAAATGAACTAAAAGACTTTGAACATATATATTCGCATTCTGACTTTTTAAACGCCCATTTAATTAGGTGTTTGAAATTTTTCTTAATAAGATTATGAGGCAAAGTGGTATATAGGGTA